AGCAGGGTTACACCAGGAAGTTTCTAGTAGTACGAGCTTGATTAGCTGGTTCAGGTGTGTTTGATTAGGGTTGGAGCTTAATGCCGCAGTCACACTAGAGTTTGAGCATGCAAAATTCTGTCGTACGTCGCTGCGAAAAGGGTGGGCTTAAATAAGATGATTAGACACTAAAAAAAGCGAGTGATTGGTCCATGTTTTAAATTTCTGTCTGGAGAGCTCATGATTTGAACCTCGATTGGTCTCACGCAATCAAATGATGCGATTTTGCAGGTCAGAGTTCACAAAGATGAAACTTTCCAATGCAGCAAACTGCAAAACTTGCTGCACGACCTTACGTTACCCCTCTGATGCATTCGCGTGCGTATGAATGCAAGTCTATGGGGAGAATAATGCAGTGTAACCGCAGCTAAACTCTCCAGGACACTGGCCCTCCAGGACCGAGCTTGGACACTCCTGTTCTAGTATATCTAGTAAGAGTTTGATTAGCTGGTTCAGGTGTGCTTGATTAGGGTTGGAGATTAATGCCGCAGTCACACTAGAAGTTGGTCTTGCGAAATTCTGTCGTACGGCGCTGCTAAAAGGGACGGGATTAAATAAGATGACTGGACATTAAAATAAGTGAGTGATTGGTCCATGTTTTAAATTTCTGTCCAGAAAAATTTGAACCTGGATTGGTCTCACGCAATCATATGATGCGATTTCGCGGGTCAGAGTTTACCAAACTTGAACTTTCAAATGCAGTGAACTGCGAAATGTACTGCACGACCTTACGTTTCTGGTCTGACGAATTCGCATGCACATGAATGCAAGTCTATGGGGTGAGAAGTGCAGTGTGACCGCAGCTAAACTCTCCAGGACACTGGCCCTCCAGGACCGAGTTTGAAAACCCCTGTTCTAGTATATCTAGTTAGAGCTTTATTAGCTGGTTCAGATGTGTTTGATTAGGGTTGGAGCTTAATGCCGCAGTCACACTAGAAGTTGGTCTTACGAAATTCTGTCGTACGGCGCTGCTAAAAGGGGCGGGATTAAATAAGATGACTGGACATTAAAAGAAGTGAGCGATTGGTCCATGTTTTAAATTTCTGTTCAGAAAAATTTGAACCTCGATTGGTCTCACGCAATCATATGATGCGATTTCGCAGGTCAGAGTTTACCAAAATTAAACTTTCCAATGCAGTGAACTGCGAAATTTACTGCACGACCTTACGTTTCTGGTCTGACGAATTCGCATGCACATGAATGCAAGTCTATAGGGTGAGAAGTGCAGTGTGACCGCAGCTAAACTCTCCAGGACACCGGCCCTCCAGGACCGAGTTTGGATACCCCTGTTCTAGTATATCTAGTAAGAGCTTGATTGGTTCAGGTGTGTTTGATAAGGGTTGGAGCTAAACTTTCCAGGACACCGGCCCTCCATGACCGAGTTTGGACACCCCTGGTTTAAAAGAATAAATTTAAATAGATAAATCTATCCGAACGTCATTACACTGTTCAAACCACATACTTTATGTAAAACTGACTCCTCCCAAAATGTAAACAAATAAACCTAAGAGCTTGTTATAAGCTATATGACGTACAAATATAGCAGCGATAATGCTATAATAAAACACAACGCAATGCCACAGATGACTTTGTCATATTGCTTGTTACACGCTCTCAGGTTTAACTGTTTACATTTCTGTTTACAACCATTTGAGTATTTAGATTTTTGGGTAAACTGTGTCTTTAGAGGGTGGAGCAGTGGGTAGCACAATCTCCCCACAGCAAGAGGTTACTGGTTTGAGCCCCGGCTGGGCCAGTTGGCATTTCTGTGTGGAGTTTGCATGTTCTACCTGTGTTTGCGTGGGTTTCCTCCGGGTGATCCGGTTTCCCCCACAGTCCAAAGACATGCGGTACAGGTGAATTGAATAAACTAAATTGGCAATAGTGTATGTGTGTGAATGCAAGAGTGTATGGGTGTTGGACATGAGCTGGATAAGTTGGTGGTTCATTCCGCTGTGGCGACCCCTGATTGATAAAGAGACTAAGTCGAAAATAAAATGAATGAATCCTTAGAAGTCTCAATAATCCTCGACCAGGATCATCTTGAGCAGCTGCTGTGGGGATCATAAAAGAGTGCAGAGCATGAGATTGATTCCTGAATGACCCCAGTGACAGACCAAGTGTCTGCATTGATCCAGTGGGCCGGCCTGAACACCCGCCGGTGACCTACTGACACCTCCACAATGGACATGCAGTGTTCTCCAGCCTCAGGCGCCTAGACTGCAGCTCTGCACAAGAAGTTTAGCCAGAAGAGAAATGGTCGTGCCCAACTGAGCCTGGTTTCTCTTGAGTTTTTTCCCCTCACTTTCGTCAATTGGTAAAGTTTGTTCCTCCACTGTCTTGGCTGGCTTGCTTGGTTTGGTACTTGTGGAGCTGCGCATCGATGGATTTGCTCTCCAGAGTTTGGACTTTCAGCAGTTCAACTCTGAAAACTGGACTGACACAGTCTATGCCATAGACTTCTTTGTTAAGCTGCTTTGACACAATCTACATTGTAAAAGCGCTATAGAAATACAGATTGATCTGAATTGAATTAATACCAGGTGTAAACAGGGATTTCGCTATCCCTGAAACTTTTAAGGCCTGTGCACACAGAGATTTCCCCTCAATGTTTAACGCCTCATGACAAAATAAAGGGCGTTAATGTGATCGTGCACACGAACGTGCAAAACGTCAGGCACAAAAGCGTCATTTAAAAAAAAAAAAAACACCTCATGCTCGTTTTTTTGTTTTGACGCGCCACATCTAAACCTTCTCCACCAATCAGATTGGTAGTTTTGTTCAAGTGCACGGAGCTGCTGAAGTAACAGTAAACAGCACTTGGAGGCAGTCAAGCGAAAAACTGTCAATGCGAGCGCACATTGAAGAACATGCCCAGAGGCGATATGAACGTGCAACTGCTTATTGTCCTGGTGAACAATAATCATTTCTTCATCGCTAGAGCTGGAGCTGCTGCTTGACCCATCCATGCTTGTTCGAATCACCAGTAACTTTAACAACAAGCGTGTGAACTTCAGTTGTTGCTAGATCGGATATGTTTGTGGCCGGAAGTTAACAAGAATAATTTGTATTATTTATAAATTTCCGATTTATTTTATTTTATTAACGTTTACCCCCAACCCTAAACCTAACCGTCACTGTAAGGTAAAAGCAGTAGTTGTACAGAGTATTATTTATGTTATCTATTAAATTACCCAATAAATTGTATTTTTTTAAAGCCTACCCCAACCCTTAACCCAACCGTCACAGTACTGTAAAATTAATTATTGTTATGAAGTTTCATTTTAAAAATGCTGCTATATTAATGTGCATGTCGCACTTCCAGCTAGCCGCGTATCCTATCTAGACTTTACCGTGAACTTCCTCTCTTCTGTGTTATAAGTGGGTGTCAGAAGCTCAAAGTTGTGTAGCGCCATCTAACGTCCAGGAGTAAAATCATACTCAGCATACTCTTCTGCTTGACACCCGTGAAACACACTTGGGTTTGAATCCCGAAAAATGACTCGTAAAATGCTGACAATAAACGCAAACGAAAAGCGTCCCGGCGTGTACGAGCCTTTAGTCTGTTTAAATGCACAACAATACTTCAGAAATCAATTCTAAATGTCTAGATTAAAGACCATCCAGTTTTTCTTACACGTTTTATAGTGTTTCCCGACAGAAAAGTCATGCAAGCATAATCATGCTGTGCATGTAAACACGTTTGGTTTAATTAATTGCGTAATACATAAAACAGAGTCAACATGCCTCATGTAAATCAATGTAAAAAATAAGATATGTGCACACATATTCAATTAGCTTTTACAAATAAGACAACTTTAAAACATTCAAGATGTGTGTCCTTTAAAACAGTGGTCCCCAACCTTTTTATCACCGCGGACCGGTCAACGGTTGTCAATTTTACAACAGACTGGTGTGGGCCGGTCTTCAAGTGAACACAGGTACTGCGCTCGTGCATCCAGGTTAACAACTCAGTGCGCATGCGCTAGTTGCACTATCGCGGTCTGATTATGTTTCAATCAAGGTTTATATGCATCAAATACATCACATCTGTGCCAAACATTTCAACTGGCGAACATATTAACAATAATACAACCGTATAGCCGAATTAAATGTATGCATTGGCATGTTACAGCCCTAATGAGCATGTATATGTGAAACTCCATACAGATACATATTGCAATGATTTCGGGTACTTACTTAGCGATGCAAGCACACATATATGCACAGTCCTTAAATGCTCTGCTGATTTGCACTCTATAATACCCGTTTTATAACTTTAAACTATCTACAACCACCACTGAGCGATATTCTAGTGATCGTTCCCGCTCGGTGGTGGATTTTGGAATAGTCCATTTCACGTGAGATGGCGGGGGTAAGTGGAAGAAACCAAGTTGCGGGGGGAATATTTTCTACACAAATAATTTATGATTTCTTATGTAGCCTAAATGTTCCGCAGACCGGTGCGGTGGTTGGGGACCACTGCTTTAAAACAATAGTGAAAAGGATGTGAGATTTCTGATAAAAATATGATAAAATACAGTCGTTATTTGTTTTGATTTGTTTATTTATTACAAAAGCTTCATACCTAAGTGTTTATGTGAATGTTCTTTGTATGTTCAGCTTTAACTGTTATTTTGGAGGAAATCATGAATCTTCTGACCTTGTGTGATGGCCAACCTGTTGATGTCGTATTTTCCAACCAAACAACCAATACACCACAACAACAGAAAACACGGCACATGACATACTTCCTGCTTGATTCTACATTAGCATTATAAATATATATATATTTTAACAAAAATAAAGCATCTTTCCACAGCCATCTTCCTATGACACCAATTTCCTATATCTTCTGTAGAGTATAAGCGAGAATGATACTGATAATACTTGCAGATCAACAAAGATGATGAGCCGTTCTTACATTGGATTATGCAACAGAGATGGTAGAGAGCAAGAGATATTGCATACATAAATACTTTAATCTGGCATAACGGCGGCATTGCGCTGCCTTCGGAAAGTTCATGGACAGAGCGCTTTGCTTCTTTCTAGAGGCACATTGGAAATCGCAGCTGAAATGTTCTGGACCCAAGAGGACTTGATAGAGAGCAGCAGCGTGAAATAGCGTCTTCTATTTAAGCGAGGTTATATGACAACACATCCTTTAATATGCTCTTCCACTTTTTGAGTCCATCCTTCAGGCCAATCTGGATCCAAAAACCCATCCAAAGCATGTGTGAAGTTCATGGTCTCTACAAACGTAGTGTTCTCCAAAAGACTTTCTCCTCATCCTTGACCTTTAGCAGAGTCATAAAGAACAGAGAAGCGACACAAACATAGTCTTTGTCAGTTTCGTTTCCGCCCAGTGTTTGACCACTTAATAATTAACCGAATACCAATCCCGTTTGTCTTCAGTGTTTGACAGAGTTCGTAGAAAGCACCTTTGGTGTTGTGTTTGTGTATAATGTTCCTCTGGATACAGTATCTTTTTTTTTTTTCGAACAGCAATGGGGTCTGAGGTCAAAGTCCCAGTGCTGCTGCAGTATTACGTAGACACTGTAGTCCTTCAGTCGCTCGCTTGATGTGGTTTCACCTTATGTCCACTAGAGGGAGAGAAAGAAAACAAAGAATGCTTTTAGCATGTTATCAAGCTTTATAATAGAGTCTTGATTTGTATTTTTTTCTTTAGTAAGACATGCAATTTGTGTTGAAGTGACACATCTCCACTGCAGTGATTGTAGTGTTTATTACAGAAGAGTCTGTGCACATTTAAGAAAGACACAATGTGGGCAATTATGTGAAAGGAACCATTTTTGTGATCAAGATCATAAAAACCATCAATCCACACATTTTCAAACGAGCTCTGTTCCAAAACCAAGCAAGCTGCCAAAAGCTAGACACCAGTTTAATGCATCAGATGAGCTTGCCTCATAGTCTGCTAGAGGAAGTACCCACTTTTTGGCATGCTCAATTTAATGATTTTGGTTACAGGATCTCCTTTCGAGGGAATAAAAGGGGATAGTTTACCCAAAACTGAAAATTCAGTCATACTTTACTCACGCTTGAGCATTTTAAGTTTTTTTTTTGTTTTTAATTCAGGGTGCACTTACACTAGAACAGTGGTGCTCAACCCTGTTCTTGGAGATCGACCTTCCTGCAGAGTTCAGCTCCAACCCTGATCAAACGCACCTGAACCAATTAATTAGGACCTGAACAGCACTTGATTATTACAGGCAGGTGTGTTTGATATGGGTTGCAACTGAAATCTGCAGGAAGATCGATCTCCAGGAGGAGGGTTGGTCACGCCTGCACTAGACTGAACCATGCCCAGGTGTATTTTCTGGCTCATTTTACAAGTGTGAGTGCTCCGAATCAGAACGCTTGTAATGTGAGTGCAAAGCCCAAAAATGAAACAAGATGTCACTTTTTATGGACTGTTTCATATGGATTTAGTAATCATTCTTACTTTTAATAAACTCAAATTGTTAGTTTATTAAAGATACGAACCCCCCTCCTGCATGTCAGCTGCGAGCTTCAGCAAACCTTCTAATGCCTGCAGCACGAGGACATTTTTGATAATTTATGAGTGTAAAAAAGTTGTGGAAAATATTTGACTGAGTGTCATTGCATCCCAAACAACTAAAACAATATTACTAAAGCAATCTCCACTGTACTGAGCTCTTCTCTTCCTGTTAAACTGAACAGTTGCATCATTGATGACGCAAGCGTGCTCAGGTTGGGAAGATGCTGTGTGAGTGCAGGCCGTCAGGAGAGAAGGGAAGTGGGGACAATCGCGCTTCAGCATGATTCAAGGCAACTGTACCTAATGTGAGTACACCCAAACACTTTTTTTAAATGAACACACCACCAAAAATGCCCAATTTACAAGTCTGCTAGAGTTAAACAGTTGACATGGACCATTTTTGAATCCATTCAGCCAATTTCTTGTTCTGGCCGGGTCACTTTTAGCTTAGCTTAGCATAATAAATTGAATCAGATTTGACTATTAGCATTTTGTTCAAAACGAGTACATTGGGTACAAAAACGTGAAAATAATAAATAACTATTTTCTCAGCCAACTAGTATTTATACTCTTATTCTGGAGTAATAGACAAGAAACTCTGCTACTGAACCAGGTGAAGTGATATCAAGCAGCACATAAGAATGGTCATTTTTCTGAGGGTGTTACTTTAAATAAAAAATAAGGTATTTTTTTTTTTAGAAACCATTGACATCCATAGTGGGGAAAACAAATACAATTCAATACATGCCAGTGGTTAGATACTTCAGTACATCTTCTTTTGATAAGATACTCAAACTGGTTTGGTGCAGTTTTGGGTGAACTCTCCATTTAAATTAGCGCTTGCTTCAGAGTAATGTCTAGCCCAGACAAAGGTGCATTTACTGTAGGTAGTAAGAGGAACCTGAGTTGTGACTATAAAGTAGAAGTCTGCATCTCCAAATAAATTTGTAATTTGAACGGGAGTGGGCAGGCTAACAATATAGCACTCTCAAGTCCCAACGTTATTTTGGAACAGTTTAACTGTGATTTCCTCATTCTTATTAAGCACCGGTACCGCCAGTGCTCATGACTGTTACACATGGTGAATGCATGACCAGTGCTTTCTGCACATGTTTTTAAAGCGGGCTTTACCAACATGGGAGAGCAAAGTGAAGATGCGCAGTACCCAATTTTAACACGAACCTAACCTAAATTTACTTCAATTTAGCAGGAACGGTCGGGTCGGGTAGAAAACAGGGAGGGATGTGCAGCGGGTGAACAAAGTCTTAACATATGACAGGAGCAGTCAGGTGCGAAATAAAACCTTGCGGGAGCAGGACTACAAAATTACTCCCACGGAGATCTGTACTATAAGATAGCAACCAGGACAATTAGTTCTGGCTGGAATTTTCTTTTTGCTAATGTATATCACTGAGTTCCTATAACCCATGCAAAAGCCCCTATAATAGGGATCACCAAACTTGTTCCTGAAGGTCCGGTGTCCTGCAGATTTTAGCTCCAACCCTAATCAAACACCTGACCAAGCTAATTAAGGTATTACTAGAGCTGCGTCCCAAATTGCATACTTATGCACTATTCTACGCCATTTTGTAGTATAAATAGTGCAAGTAGTGTGTTCACACTTAAAACTCTAAAAATAATAAGTGCACTTTAATTACCCGGATGATGCGCTTATTCAACCGCTAAAATTAAGTGTGTAATGATGGACACTTCATGCACTCAACGACCGCAGGTTTGCTCACGTAGCGGAAGGGGCGGAGCGATCGGACGCACATGTTGAATACCTATTTATTTTGGATGGTTAAAGCAAAATTCTCCTACGAGAGTGATTATAGCGCCTCCCGATGGTGAATGCGGCAATACTCACGGCAGGTATCATTTAATAAATCGGTCGTTTATTTCACTGATTTGGCAACCGTCAAACGTCATCAGGGAAACGGTTTGAATTTCCGATTAGTAAAAAAACATTAGTGTGCCATTTGGGACAACACTACATACATATACTATCCTGTTGAGTGTGTAAGTGCATAAGTACATAGTGCATGAGTGCATAGTGTATAGTGTGCCATTTGGGACGCAGCTTAGGTATACTTGAAACACCCAGGCAGGCGTGTTGAGGCAAGTTGGAGCTAAACCCTGTAGGGACACTGGCCCTCCTGGACCGAGATTGGTGCCCCCTGCCCTGTAAGATAATTCTAAGAGTATGCTCATAGTTGGCATGTTTGGTTAGATTAAAATGATCTCTTGTGCGAGCATCCCTCTGTTAGTCTGCCATTTGGGCCTTAATGCACTCCAACCAAGCAGACCGAGAGCCATCTTTTCAGCCACTTTTTTGGAGTGCATCAAGGATTGGATGGCAGCAAAGAAAGAGCTATCTACCCAAGTAGACAACAGACAGCAAGGCACCTAACTTGGTTTTGAATCAGAGCTAAATTATAGACATGGTGAACACAAACTGATTTGATGAACAAACACACAAACCCGTGACGCATGCAGCAAAGCAAAAGCACAGCACAGTGCACACATCTCTGGTTTTTAGTGTCATGTGACTCTGATTGGGCACCTTCCCTCTCTCCTGATTGGTTCATGCCGATGATTGGTTTAGAACTGGCAGCAGGTCTGTCCTACCTGCAGGATATTTTGGTCCGCTGACTGCTAGGAAATGTTTGCCTTTTATTGAATATCCTTGTTGATCAGTGCGGCCACTGCTTTCTTTCTGTGTTTCCGTTTTTTACGGTTTTTAACTGTGCGTAGGCCTGGAAACACAAGTTTGGTTGCAAGCAGATGATGGGCAGAGTTTGGTTGAGCAGATTAAAAGGAAAGCAGGAAAAGAAATAAAGAAAGAAGGAATTTATGGCCTCGGGGAGGTGTAAAACAGACTGTAATTGCACTTCATAAATATTTGAGCCTTCCAACCCTTTTATCTCGGCACACAAGAGCAGAAACCTGTTGAACCTGAACTCTCAGACACACTTTTACATGTTTCAGCATTCGCACACCTGCGCTTTTTTTTTCTTATCCATTCGATTGCATCATCGGCCAGCACAGTCAAACACAAGCTCGCACAAGCACTGACGTTTGGCAATAGCAGGCTGACCAACAGGTGTGTTTGATAGTGGTGACCGCACAATCCAAAGAATCACCACAGATCAGGCCAAACATTAAGCATACGTCGCATACATACCTGTGTCTGCCTCCACGTGCTCTATCACGTGATGCTGGGACGTGCATATGCATTCCAGGTGATCCTCTAACCGGACCAGCACCTCCTTCAATTTCGCTTTCTTACGCGACGCAAACTCTACCTTCGCCACCTGGAAGAACAGAAAAAAGACCAGGTTGGGTGAGAAATGAAGTGTATTTCACTCATATTTGATGATGTAGATTACAGCTTGACCAATTATGCATGTCATTAGCATTAATTAGCAATTAGCATTAGCAATACCTTTGCCATACAGTTATTAACTAATTTTAAATGATGCGTTAGATTTGTACATTTTTTGGTTACTTGCGATAGATTCTTATGTTTGTAGGATTTCTACATGCTCAGTCATAGCTCAGCTTACACTAGTATACAGGATGTCCAATTCAGCACTTAATTAGCATTATTAGCAATTAGCATTAACAATACTGCATACTCTTGCCATAAAGTTAAACAATTTTCAAATTATGCTGTAAATTCTTTTGTTTTTAAGGTACTACATGCTCAGTTATAGCCCACCTTACACTAGCATACAGGACATTCTATTCTGCATGTCATTAGCATTAATTAGCAATTAGCAGTACTGCATACTTTCATCACAAATTTATTAACAATTTTCAAATTACGCAGAAGATTCTTATGTTTTTAAGGTATTACAATGCTCAGTTAAAGCTCAGCTTACACTCGCAAACAGAATGTTCAGTTCTAGATGACATCAGCATTAATTAGCAATAACAATACTGTATACTCTTGTCATAAAGTTATTAACGATTTTCAAATTATGCGGTATTCTTTTTTAATTCACTACATGCTTATTTATAGCTCAGCTTACAATAGTGTAGCGAATGTCCAGTTCTAGATGACATTAGCATTAATTAGCAATTAGCATTAGCAATACTGTATACTCTTGCCATAAATTTATTAACGATTTTCAAATTATGCGGTAGATTCTTAAATTTTTAGGCTACTACATGGTCAGTCATAGCTCAGCTTACACTAGCATACAATCATTAGCATTAATTAGCGATTAGCATTAACAATATTGTATATATTACATATATACATCCAACTCTGTACATCATTAGCTATAACTAGCATTACCAATACAGTATACTTTTGCCATAAAGTTATCATTCATTTATTCATATTCTTGTCGGCTTAGTCCCTTTATTAATCCGGGCTCGCCACAGCAGAATGAACCGTCAACTTATCCAGCAAGTTTTTACGCAGCAGATGCCCTTCCAGCTGCACTCCATCTCTGAGAAACATCCACACACACACTACGGACAATTTAGCCTACCCAATTCACCTGTACCGTATGTCTTTGGACTGTGGGGGAAACCGTAGCACCCGGAGGAAACCCACGCGAAGGCAGGGAGAACATGCAAACTCCACACAGAAACGCCAACTGAGCCGAGGTTCGAACCAGCGACCTTCTTGCTGTGAGGCGACAGCACTACCTACTGCGCCACTGCCTCGCCCATAAAGTTATCAGCAATTTTCAAATTTTGCAGAAGATTCTTAAGTTTTTAAGGTATTACAATGCTCAGTTATAGCTCAGTTTACATCATAGCCGTCAACCCTCCCGTTTTTCCCGGGATTCTCCCATATTTTACATTTCTATCTCGCTATCATCCCGTACAGGTATTTTCCCGTATTTCTCCCATATTTTCAGTCTTTCTCTAAACAGCCGAGCCTCCCTATACGCAACCCATATTGCCGAACCACCAGGGGTCGCCCCTTGCTCTTAAACGTGAGTCTGTTATGTGCTTCTGCTTTGTTTAGGAATGAAAACATGAAAAAATAAAATATTAAAAACGGCACGATTCCCATTCTCTTTGATTACAGGTGCCATCGCATATCCTATACAGTCCTCTAAACAGTCATATAATGGTGCATGACTGTCAGCTGACGTGCTCCATAGTGATAAACAGATGCTGTTTCCCAAATAGATTCTATACACGCGATTTGAAGCGGAGAGAAAGTCTGCAACACATCGCAATGTTGACAGGTATGGCTTACACTAGCATACATTATGTCCAGTTCTGCATGACATTAGCATTATTTAGCAATTAGCAATACTGCATACTTTTGCAATAAAGTTATTGACAATTTTCAAATTATGCATAAAGTTCTTGTTTTTAAGGTATTACATGATCAGTTACAGCTCAGCTTACACTAGCATACAGAATGTTCAATTCTGCATATCATTAGTAATAATTAACATCAACAATACTGCATACTCTTGCCATAAAGTTATTAGCAATTTTCAAGTTATGCGGTAGATTCTTATGTTTCTAGGATTTCTACATGCTCAGTCATAGCTCAGCTTACACTAGCATACAGGATGTCTAATTCTGCACTTAATTAGCATAATTAGCACTTAGCATTAACAATACTGCATACTCTTGCCATAAAGATATTAACGATGTTCGAATTACACGGTAGATTCGCACACTTTTAGGTAACTACATGCTTAGTTATAGCTCAGCTTACACTAGCATACTATACAGCATGTTCAATTCTGCACATCATTAGCAATAATTAGCATTAACAATACTGCATACTTTTGCCATAAAACTATTAATGATGTTCAAATTATGCGGTAGATTCTTACGTTTCTTGAGTTTCTTCATGCTCGGTCATAGCTCAGCTTTCACTACTAATCAGTCATAGGCAACAGTGGAAAAATTTGTCGAACAATTCCTGGGCAATCAGCCCAAAACAGTTACATGTTCCACTGTTAACGCCCCACTGCATCACACTAAACTCAAAATAACCACACGGCCTTACACAGGGGTCGAATCGTGGCTTTTGTTGTGCTAATTTTAAAGCTTAGGACTTTATTCGTCCACACTGTTTTGCTAAATGCTTGACAGTATATATTCAATGTTGTTTTGTGTAGGATTGGACCATTTCTGCTCTGTGCTTAGGCCACCAATGCTAGCTTAGGGAGCCGTTTACAAGGAAACTGCTTATGCATTCACCTGTGCATGCTTTTTTTCCACGGAAATGTTCAAGTCTGATTTATTTGACAGTTTTGCTCAGCTTTCGACTCTTTCCAGGGATAAGGCATAATGCAAAATTTGAAAGATCTGCATCTTGAGACTCTACATTTTTCCCCATTCCAAGTAACAACTCAATGTGAAAACATGTTGTGCGTGAATAGCATAGATGTTGTATATAAGAAGTGCTAACGTTTGGCACATTTTCAGTTACATTTTGAAGAGAATGTATGTATGCATACCCATTGATTGTTCAAAACAGGACTGTACATTTGCAAATGGTTGGATATGCATTCAAGTATGCACTTGTGTGTATTCTTCTGGCGTCAAACCAAATCAGTAAGTTCAACAAATGACTCACAGAGTGCAAATAAAAACTCAGTCTACCATGCGAGGGCAATTGGTTTAACATTATGGAACAAATGATGCAACACTTGGAAACTCCTGCAGAACCTATAGAGAAACTCCAAAGTTAAGGTAGGTGAGAGACAGTGAGACAGGCTGGTTTCTGTCACTCCGTCTATCCCGGTTGCTGGTTTATACCACTTTCTCTCTGTCCACTGCCCACCTCTCCCTCCTCTTGGACATTCTTGTGCTCGGTTATATTTACAGAGCCAAGTCTAAAACAGCCAGTGGCGTGCAAGAATGTTCTGCGACTGAGGATGAAGGCTGAGACAGACTCTGAGGGGCTTGAGAACCAGTCAGGGGGTTGGGTAAGGGGTTCAGGAAAGGGTCATAATAAGAAAAAAAGGACTCCCCACACCATCCTTTCCTGCTCCCGCCTCAATATTTCCATTCAAATTCAATCTATCATTGCCTCTGCATCTCGCTTTCAAGTCCAGCTCCACCAGGTCTGAACTTCACACATGCACTCGCCCACATACTCGAACAGGCTTTATAAAAAGACCTAAGTTTCTCAGGAGCCCCTTCCAAGCTCTATTTATAAGCTACTGTGCTTTACGCTGCAATGAAAGCCCTGCGAAACCCAGCGCAGCGCACTAATGGTGTGACATCTGATCCAGCCCCGGCTCCAGCAACCCCAACCCCCTCTGACTCGCCCTGCGCTCTGTGAGGACTATTGTCCGGGGTTCGGATAATTGGCATTGGGATTTCCCTGCAAGAAAAGTTGATAAAGAAAGGGCGAGAGAAAGAACGGGCATCGGCAAAGGTGCATCATGGGTAATTAGCATGGGAACAATAGGAAACGGACATGTAGCCAGAGGACAGGCTGTTTTGTTGCACATCTGTCAGCGGGTAAATCTGACGACAAAACGCTGTGGCTGAAAAGCGAAACTGAGATGGCAGTCGGACGACTGGTGGGGCGACCCGAAGAGAAAGAGGGGTGTGGGGAGCAAGCGCTCTCATTGAGCGAGTGACAAAAAGAGGCCTGAACAGGAACAAGGGGTTCTGGGAGGAGGGAAAAGAAAAAAAAAACTTTTATCTCGTGACCTGCATGTCTAGAGTTACCGAAAGAGTACAGGCAAAATCTTTGCTGTAAAGCACAAAGGCACTCAGACAATCACTAAGATAAGGAGAAAAAGGTGATCTAATCTGCACACTTCCTGTCACAGCCCTTTAAAAACGTCCCTAAACACTGTCAGAAAAGCGAAGAGTGAAAAGATGGAAAGAACACAGAATTGCAGATATGATAGCAATTACAGCCCACCACATTTGAGGAAAAGCAAACAAACAAAGAATGAAGGACAGCAGATTGAGAGGAGGAAAAAAAAATCACATGAGTTTTTTGACTTTATAGCATCATGCATTTTAACCTAAGGCCTAAAGTATACTTAGTTTGCCAATGCAAGTACAGTAAAGTGAACAGGATGCAAATTTCAACACCAGAAGAGTATGTGCATACTGCACATGCTTTATGTGCACTGCACAAATGACGCAAACCTGATTCCACCAAGTAGGACTTGTTCCTGGATTAACATCTACAGTATGTTGATCCTGGAACAACATTCCAATCAGCCAATCAGAATTAAGGGATGTGTTTACCGTTTATGTTAAGTTTAGGCTTACGGTCAGGTTCATGCACTTCTATATGATTGTTATCCAACTGTTCTTCCCCTCTGATTTTGGGAGTAATTTACAGGTGTGGTTG